ACTTCCACACATTGTAAGGTGAAGTGACTTCCACACATTGTGAGGTGGAGTGACCTCCACACATTTTGAGGTGGAGTGACTTCCACACATTGTGAGGTGAAGTGACTTCCGCCTATTGCGAGGTGGAGTGACCTCCACAACTTGTGAGGTGGACTGACTTCCACACATTATGAGGTGGAGTTACCTCCACACATTGTAAGATGAACTGACTTCCACACATTGTAAGGTGAACTGACTTCCACACATTGTAAGGTGAAGTGACTTCCACACATTGTGAGGTGGACTGACTTCCACACATTGTGAGGTGGAGTGACATCCACACATTGTGAGGTGGAGTGACTTCCACATATTGTGAGGTGAAGTGACTTCCACACATTGTGAGGTGAAGTGACTTGCGCCTATTGCGAGGTGGAGTGACCTCCACAACTTGTGAGGTGAAGTGACTTCCACACATTGTAAGGTGAAGTGACTTCCACACATTGTGAGGTGGAGTGACCTCCACACATTGTGAGGTGGAGTGACTTCCACACATTGTGAGGTGAAGTGACTTCCGCCTATTGCGAGGTGGAGTGACCTCCACAACTTGTGAGGTGGACTGACTTCCACACATTATGAGGTGGAGTTACCTCCACACATTGTAAGATGAACTGACTTCCACACATTGTAAGGTGAACTGACTTCCACACATTGTAAGGTGAAGTGACTTCCACACATTGTGAGGTGGACTGACTTTCACACATTGTGAGGTGGAGTGACATCCACACATTGTGAGGTGGAGTGACTTCCACATATTGTGAGGTGAAGTGACTTCCACACATTGTGAGGTGAAGTGACTTGCGCCTATTGCGAGGTGGAGTGACCTCCACAACTTGTGAGGTGAAGTGACATCCACACATTGTGAGGTGAAGTGACTTCTACACATTGTGAGGTGAAGTGACTTCCACACATTGTAAGGTGAAATGGCTTCAACACATTGTGAGGTGAAGTGACTTTCACACATTGTGGGGTGAAGTGACTTTCACACATTGTGGGGTAAAGTGGCTTTCACATATTATGAGGTGTAGTTACTTTTGCACATTGCTAGTTGGAGTGACTTCCACACATTGTGAGGTGAAGTGACTTCCACACATTGTGAGGTGAAATGGCTTCAATAGATTGTGAGGTGAAGTGACTTTCACACATTGTGGGGTGAAGTGACTTTCACACATTGTGGGGTGAAGTGGCTTTCACATATTATGAGGTGTAGTTACCTTTGCACATTGCGAGTTGGAGTGAATTTCACACATTGTGAGGTGAAGTGACTTCGGCCTATTACGAGGTGGGGTGACTTTCACACATTTTGAGGTAGAGTGACTTTCACACATTGTGAGGTGAAGTGACTTTGTAAACATTGCGAGGTGGAGTGAATTCAAAACATTGTGAGTTGGAGTGACTTTCACACATTGTGATGTGATGACTTCCACACACTATGGGGTTGAGGTATAAGCCACGCACTGTCAAATGCATGTGGCATACTTTTCTGTCTGTTTTAGTGGCAAGGCGTGATAAATTTGCATGTGTAAATGGTATAGAAAAACACATTTACAGTGCACGAATACCCCCGCCCCCGCCCCATTCTAGTCTTCTATTATACAGTGCAAAAAAGCCAGGATGCTGAACTAGAACTACAGCAGATTTGCCAACAATTAATTCATTATACAGTCAATAATACACATAAAATTCATTGCCACTCTTTCGTTCGCCATTTGATAAAACTATACTATAAATAACAGCGATAATTTAGAACTAGATTTAATTGACCACTTTCGCCCAGGATAGTAAAAAATAACTATATTATCAATCCCCCTGCTTCATGTTTGTCTCCATCGTTGCCGTATATGAAGTCTTTGCCTCTAACTGCTGCTGATTCTCCTGCTACCCCTCAGATCTGACCAACTAAGCTTTCGCCCCTCAACTGCCCCTGCTCTCTCTAGAAGATTCCCCGCCACCCTCCCCAGTCGTGAGTCAGGGTCACAATCCAGACTGGTGGGTGGCAGCCCATCTCCAACCACCCCCAACCCCTACAGTCGTGAGTCAGGGTCACAATCTGGACTGGTGGCAGCCCATCTCCAACCACCCCCACCCTCCCCAGTCGTGAGTCAGGGTCACAATCCGGACTGGTGGGTGGCAGCCCATCTCCAACCACCCCCACCCTCCCCAGTCGTGAGTCAGGGTCACAATCCGGAGTGGTGGCAGCCCATCTCCAACCACCCCACCCCCTACAGTCGTGAGTCAGGGTCACAATCCGGACTGGTGGCAGCCCATCTCCAACCACCCCAACCCCTGCAGTCATGAGTCAGGGACACAATCCGGACTGGTGGGTGGCAGCCCATCTCCAACCACCCCCACCCCCTACAGTCGCGAGTCAGGGTCACAATCCGGACTGGTGGCAGCCCATCTCCAACCACCCCCAACCCCTGCAGTCGTGACCGAAGATCACTATTCGTACAGGTGGCAGCCCCATCCTCCCATTTGGAACGATAACACTATCGCCCTCTACCGGCCCCGCACCTCCAATCGGATGGTAGCGCCATTAGTTTAAAACCCTGGAGTGAAAAATTCTGTGTCCGAGTTTTTAAGTAGATTTGCCTCCAGTTGTAAGTGGTTCGGTCCCAAGTTGCTACAAGCATCATCGCTAATTGCATGTCACATAATATTTTCAGCATTTATGTCTGGAAAACAAACTCCAACCAGTGCCCTGTATTTACTTGTGGCGTATCGCCCAGTTGTAATCTCCCGTCTCTTATTCCATCTGTCTTTTTACCGCCGCCGTATGTTTAGTCGTCGCCCCTAAGTGCGCCCGAGGCTCTTAGCGCCCCGTGGCTTGTATCACCGCCCAAAATTTGACCGACCAAGCTACGACCACCTAAACTACCCTAGAACCCCCAATGGGATGGTAGCGCCCACAGTTAGAAAGCCCATTACGTTCCTACGTTACTATTTTAGTCATAATTAACGGTAGTCAACCTGTTATTACTATTTTGAAAATTTCAGTTAAAAGTGGAGATAACAGAGAAACTAAACATAAACAATGAATAAAGTATTTCAAGAGCAGTTTTAGCGAGGGCTTGAATTCCATGACTTTCTGCGTGTTAGGCGATATGATGATCACTTCACTGTTGAAGACAGGCTTACTCTGAGTTTCAAGGAAGATAACAACGAAATATCATTTTATCAAACTAATTACTTTAAAGACGTAGGATACTCGTTGCAAATACTCAAAAGGTATAACTCGAGTAAACGGTAACTTTTACTAATTGTGAAGTTAAAGGAAATGCTCAGAAACAAAAAATGGATGAACATCATATCCACATGCAGGCATACACACATGTATATTACACAGATAAACATGCAGGCATACACACATGTATATTACACAGATAAACATGCAGGCATACACACATGCATACATATATACATACAAACGCATACACAATTATGTAAATCATGTCTTGTGTCTCCTGTCTTATGCCTCGTGTCTTGTGTCTGGCATCTAATGTCTTGTGTCTCGTGTCCTTCTATTACAGCCTCATTTCTAAGAGGGAAGACACAGGAACTGAAGTCTCTGCTGATTTGTCCTCAGATGCGGCATGACGCCATGGAAGACGATCCCCTCAGCAGACGCCATGTCCACGGCGACTCCGCGCGCAGTCACTCGGGGAGCAACACATCCGACATCAGCAACAGTCAGGGCAGTCACTCGGGGAGCAACACATCCGACATCAGCAACAGTCAGGGCAGTCACTCGGGGAGCAACACATCCGACATCAGCAACAGTCAGGGTAGTCACTCGGGGAGCAACACATCCGACATCAGCAACAGTCAGGGCAGTCACTCGGGGAGCAACACATCCGACATCAGCAAACAGTCAGGGCAGTCACTCGGGGAGCAACACATCCGACATCAGCAACAGTCAGGGCAGTCACTCGGGGAGCAACACATCCGACATCAGCAACAGTCAGGGCAGTCACTCGGGGAGCAACACATCCGACATCAGCAACAGTCAGGGCAGTCACTCGGGGAGCAACACATCCGACATCAGCAACAGTCAGGGCAGTCACTCGGGGAGCAACACATCCGACATCAGCAACAGTCAGGGCAGTCACTCGGGGAGCAACACATCCGACATCAGCAACAGTCAGGGCAGTCACTCGGGGAGCAACACATCCGACATCAGCAACAGTCAGGGTAGTCACTCGGGGAGCAACACATCCGACATCAGCAACAGTCAGGGCAGTCACTCGGGGAGCAACACATCCGACATCAGCAACAGTCAGGACAGTTACTCGGGGAGCAACACATCCGACATCAGCAACAGTCAGGACAGGAACTTGAAGACTTTGACAACCACTGCATATAATGTTAAATGTGAGGGTGGCAACCATACCAGCCTCTGCTCTGCTTTAGAACTCCACAAACAAGCCAATGCGGAGGACAGCTGTTCGCGTGACTCAGTCCATGATGATGATGATGTCACAGACATGGTCAAAGGTGGGCACCCAGGAACTCATAGACCTGCTGCAGACAGTAGCAGTGCTCATGTAGTTTTAGATAGGGCTGATGTAGTCATTGACAGGGCTGATGTAGTCATAGACAGGGCTGACGTAGGCCTAGACAGGGCCGACGTAGGCATAGACAGAGCTGATATAGTCATAGACATGACTGACATAATCGGAAACAGAGCTGATATAGTCATAGACATGACTGACATAATCAGAAACAGGGCTGATGTAGTCATAGACAGGGATGACGTATTTGGAGACAGGGCTGATGTAGTCATAGACAGGGCCAGTGATAGTTGTGTCCTCAACCCAACAGATGCCAGTGATAGTTGTGTCCTCAAGCCAACAGATGTCAGTGACCTCTCAACAACTATCTTTAGTGATGACAGTGTCACCTTGGAGGATGGATGCTTGGGCTGTCTCCAGGATCGTCAGTTGGTGGGAGGCCTAAAGGGTCAAATGGTGAACCAAACAGGAGGTCGGGTAGGGGATTCAGTGGAGAGCCAGGTGGGGTCTCGGGTGAGTTTGAGCGACCGCTATTTCAGGCATTCCTTGCCCCTGCCTCCAGCGATGACAGGGGAGTTTCCCAAGGACATTACTTGCAGACATTCTCTGCGGCTTTCCACTGCACGTGCTTCAGCTTTCCCCGAGGATGATGCCTGTAGAAACACTAGAAGCCAGATCATATACAATGAAACGCCTGTGTTTGAAATGATCAGACCAGGCGAGACAAATCCGCCAATCTTCCATCATTCCTCAATCAACGATCCGACCCCGGACATTCACGACTTGGCCACACGTTACCACAAAGATGCGTTCTTCAAGAAGCCAGCTCTGGGTCTGGCTGAGTCCGCTGGTTCGGCTCCACCAACTAAAAGCACAGACGGCGGCAACCTTATCAAAGGCAGCAGCAATGGCAGCACTACACGTGACAGTTTAACCTTGAGCTTACTCCAAGGCCAGCCTCCATTTTCAGCCACAAGATTTAAATCCAGCCATTCCGAGCCGTTGTCCGGCATCAGCAGCCGCGTACCACTGTTTAGCGCTACGACAGGTCTGCCGGCGGGTACCGCTGCAACTGACATCTCCAGCTCTGTCACTTGTAAACACTTGTCCATGAGCAAGGTCAAGGTCAGTTGGTCATTCAAATAGGCTATAGTATGTGAGTGCACTCACGCAAAACAGATATATATATATATATATATATATATATATATATATATATATATATATATATATATATATATATATATATATATATATTTATAGAGAGAGAGAGAGAGAGAGAGAGAGAGAGAGAGAGAGAGAGATGAGGGATGAGGGAAAAAGTAAGAGTGCCATTGAGAGAGGGAGAGAGTGTGAATACGAGACAGCAACGAGAGAAGACAGGAACATCCGAGTTTGTTAGCAGTAACATCTGAGTCTTTTTGACAGTAGATTCAGAGTGTATTGACATTCGCAACATTTGAAGAAATAACACAGGACGCCTAGAACAAACTATCTTTTCACATCTGAGACACCACCTGTCTTCTCACATCTAAGACACCACCTGTCTTTTCACATCTGAAGCACCACTCGCCTTGTCACATCTAAAGCACCGCCTATCTTGTCACATCTGAAGCACAGCCTATCTTTTCACATCTGAAGCACCATTTGTCTTGTCACATCTAGAGCACCAGTTATCCTGTCACATCTGAAGCACTGTTCGTCTTATAACATCTGAAGCACTGCTCGTCTTGTCACTTCTGAAACACTTGTCACATCTGAAACACTTGTCACATCTGAAACACTTGTCACATCTGAAACACTTGTCACATCTGAAACACTTGTCACATCTGAAACACTTGTCACATCTGCAGCATCAACTGTCTTGTCACATCTTAAGCATCACATGTCTTGTCACATCTGAACCATCACTTGTCTTGTAACATCTGCAGCATTACATGTCTTGTCACATCTTAAATATCACCTATCATGTAATATCTGAAGATGCACCTGTCTTGCCACATCTGAGACACCGCCTGTCTTGCCACATCTGAGACACCGCCTGTCTTGCCACATCTGCAGGACTGTAACCCATGGACAGACCATTGATTTCTGCCAAATAAAGGGTGTTGAATAAAATACTGCAGATCTGACAAGTACAGAATGTCGCCATTAGACTGACTGGCTGTACCCTGGTATCAGAACAGCCACAATTAATTGGCCATTGTTTGAACAGGCCCCAGGTAATCAGGTTAAGGGTGTTGACCAAGCGTGTCACTGTGTCAGCGATCTGTGTCAGTTTGTCATTCCTGGCTACACTCACAGCATTGTCTAGGCATGTGTCACTGTGTCAGCGATCTGTGTCACTTTGTCTACCCTGGCTACACTCTGAGTTTTGCCTATGTGTCACTGTGTCAGCGATGTGTGTCAGTTTGTCATTCCTGGCTACACACACAGTGTTGTCTAGGCATGTGCCACTGTAAACAGAAGACATGCGCGCGTGGGCCTCTATATGTGTGTGCGTGTGTCAGCGATCTGTGTCACTTTGTCTACCCTGGCTACACTCACAGCATTGTCTAGGCATGTGTCACTGTGTCAGCGATCTATGTCAGTTTGTCATTCCTGGCTACACTCACAGCATTGTCTAGGCATGTGTCACTGTGTCAGCGATCTGTGTCAGTTTGTCATTCCTGGCTACACTCACAGCGTTGTCTAGGCATGTGTCACTGTGTCAGCGATCTGTGTCACTTTGTCTACCCTGGCTACACTCTGAGTTTTGCCTATGTGTCACTGTGTCAGCGATGTGTGTCAGTTTGTCATTCCTGGCTACACACAGTTTTGTCTAGGCATGTGTCACTGTAAACAGAAGACATGCGCGAGTGTGCCTCTATATGTGTGTGCGTGTGTGTATATGTGCGTGTGTATATGTATGTGAGTGTGTACGAATGTGACTGAATGTTGCAGCTGTGTAAAATACCATGACGACAGTTTCTGGATGTACAAAATTAGATTCACACCACAGACTACATACTTTCTAGAAGTAGACAGCGACTATTCTTCCCCAACCCCTCATCTCACCCCAAAAGAACTCAGAAACCACAAGGTAAATACATGATTTATATCTGAGGCATCAAAAATTGATATCATGTCTTGAAAATCAAAAAATTACATTCTATCTGAGAAATCAATAAATGAAATATCTAGTAAATGCAAACACTGAAGCGATGAGAATGATTCCTGGGACTGGGCGGATACTTATTGTCAGATCTTCTTTACAGTTGAACTTGGATGTTCTTGCTATGAAAGACATTGTTGAAATTGTTGAAATTCTGCAACACATGTGAGATGTTTAAAGACATAAATAGTAAAAAGAGTCATGCAACACATGTACAATAGTAGTAGTAGTAGTAGTAGTATAGTGGTAGTAGTAGCAGTAGCAGCAGCAGCAGCAGCAGCAGCAGTAGTAGTAGTAGTAGCAGTAGTAGAAGCAGCAGCAGCTGTGGCAGTAATAGTAGAAGTAGTAGTAGTTGTTGTTGTTGTTGTTGTGGTAGTAGTAGTACTAGTAAAAGTATTAATAGTAGTTGTAGTAGTGGTGGTGGTGGTGGTAGTAGTAATATTAGTGGTAGGCGTAGTTGTGCTAGTAGTAATAGTAGTAGTGGTAGTAGTAGTAATAGTAGTAGTAGTAGTAGTTGTTGTGGTAGTGGTAGTTGTAGCAGTAGTAGTGGTGGTGATGGCAATAGCAGTGGTGGTGGTGTTAGTAGTAGCAGTTGTAGTAGTGGTGGTGTTAGTAGTAGCAGTTGTAGTGGTGGTGGTGTTAGTAGTAGCAGTTGTAGTAGTGGTGATGGCAATAGCAGTGGTGGTGGTGTTAGTAGTAGCAGTTGTAGTGGTGGTGGTGGTGTTAGTAGTAGCAGTTGTAGTGGTGGTGGTGGCAATAGCAGTGGTGGTGGTGTTAGTAGTAGCAGTTGTAGTGGTGGTGGTGGTGTTAGTAGTAGCAGTTGTAGTGGTGGTGGTGGTGTTAGTAGTAGCAGTTGTAGTGGT